ATATAACAATTTAGTCTCATCTAATAATTATAGTTGAAGAATAAGGATCTTTGGTCTAATGTATGTCACTGGTGGATTAATTGTGTCACTGGTGTTACCGTGTTTTTTTTCTGTCACATTAAATAAAATGTGTCACATATGGCATGATAATAATTTTACATCCATTGAATTTTGCTACACTCAAGAGTTAAGATTTAAAGGATTGCATCATTACTTGTTTATAACTGTTTTTTTTTTTCAAATATTTTCATTGTTATAAGAAATACATGGTTGCGCAAATGAACTAACATCATTCAATCACACTTTTAACAAACCTGATTAAAATAAATAAAACATAATCTCCTTATTTGTTGCATTATCATTATTTTTCTGTAACTCTGACTACATGTGCTAAAAAAAATAGAGAAATAATATTTCATAAAATCCTCTAAAATTGCCAAAGAAGTAAGGTAACACCAGTGACAAAAAAAGTGTACATGCGATCTTTAAATAAATATACAAAAAATATAAAAAATCATTAAGCTGTCATTTATGTGTATTCATAAAGTCAAAAGGCAATCTAATAATGTGGTCTAAGTTTAAATGTTAAAAAAAGAAATACATTTTAAGACATCTTGCCATACCAAAAGTGGACATTTCTGTAGAATGACCCAAATATTTATGACTAAAAAATTCTCCTGCCATTGGCAAAACATTAATTTTGGACCTGTGTGTGAGGAAAGAAAGGCAAACTACAAAAAAATGCTTTTAAATTAATGAAAATGTGTTTATTCAAGCTTTCAGTAGAAAAGTATTGCTTAAAAGTATTATATAACAAAATTCAGCAAAATATTCTTAACTACTTTTCTACATTATCTGTGCAGCTTTATTCATGAGCACCTCCTGCTTGTACTCTCACAGTTATTTATTTGATTTTGTTTCTCATTAAAAAGAAAGCAAAAACAAGAATCACTATTGAAGTGGAATGCCTTACGGCCATTGAAATTAAAAGTATCTCTGGACTCAAACTTGCTTTGGAGATTCACACGCTCAGAGACCACAAAAAGATACAGAAGGAAGGATTCACTAAAAATAAATTGCACCCACTGATAGTTCCATTTAGTTTGCATGCACTATTTACAATGCATTTAGCATCTATTTCACTAAAGGAATTATAAATTAATTAACCAGGTAGCAAATAACAGTGCATACATGCACAAAAATTGTGCTAAATGCAATTTGCATCAATCTTGTAGACTGGTTCTGAGTGCTATCTAGAGATGTCATTGACCGCTGTAATATGGCATATTTGAGACTAATTATCACTGAATGAATTACTGCTGTCATAGTCAACAGGCACTGTTCACAAACATGTATAAATAGTTTCATTTACAATATTACTAACTTTTGAATAATCTGTAATAAGTGCAAAGTTTACCCTGAAAAGAATGCCAATTTCATGGCATTATTTGCTCTGAGTAAACAGTCATTATTTGAACTATATACGAAAATATCGAAATAAGACAATAATAGACACATAGATATTAAGAATAATGCAGTTGCAACTTTTAGAGAATTTAGTGTCATTTTAGTATGGATTGTATATGATTAGTGGAAAAGTTTTTGAGCTGAAATGCATGCAGTGGCAAAAATGATTTAGTGAATTCACCCACATTCTTCTGGACAAAAAACAGCTGTATATTTTCTGGTCACTGTTTAAAAAAAGATGTTTCCAAAATTGCATTTCCTTTCATCCAGAGTTGTTCTCAAATTTCTTTTTGTGGGTATAATCAGTATATTTTCATGCCATCCACATCCCACATTTTTGGTAGGCACGGATAATGAGAGAAAAAGCTATAAACAGAAACAGGCTGAAAAATAATACTTTCATTATAGTTTAATGTGCTGGGGCTCTGGGGCTGTACTCAACCTCCAGAAGAAAACTAAGGATTATTATCTGGGTACTCCACAAGATTAGATAAGATTATTGTGGTGTTTTGCTTCGCTACAGTTTGGGCTCTTGCCCTGCTTAAATGTACAGTTGGTTGCTTAAATTCATGTGTTGAAATGCTGATAAGATATTCAATTTGTCTGGAGATATATAATTGTAAATATTCATCAAAATAGTTTTTGGGCTGCTGTGCATGTTTATGTATGTGTCAGTCTCCATAGAATGTTGTAAGATTAATCTTGATTCTGTGTGAGTATCTACAGCATTTGTGAGTTTGACAATATTTGTATGGGTCAATATTCCCCAGTTCTCACTTTGACTTATTCTAGTTTGTCATGCATGCTTTTTGATCCGCACTCCCCAAAATACACAAGCACACAGACACTAGACCTTTGAATCTATATCAGTAGTTTTTATACTAATATAGTGATATTTACTATGCCCTCCCTCTCTCT